AACAAGAAAGCAGAACATAAAAATAGCATCAGTTAGTGTCAGGAATGGAAATGCAGGAATTAAAAAAAAAGAGTACAAAAGGAAAACCTAGGGAATAAAATAGTTTCTTTCACAGAGAGCGTATGAAGTGACTGCGTATATTTGCAAAGCTGTACAAACATAATTTTATACCAGCGGGCAAAGATTATCCGTACTAGCAGAAGAGCAAGACTCTCTTCACACCTGTTTAACCTCCAGCTCCTCCAGCAGGACCCAGCATAAGGTGGCCACTGCAATGCAGAATAGCCACTAGCCATAAGGTTAGAGCCCCTTCAGCAATGCGAGTTTTACAAATATTGCGTAAACACCCCATCTAGGCACAGTACAGTTTTGTTTGCAGTGACTGATGAATACTGAAAATATCGAATATCATTGTTTTGTATGACTGAATTACCTTAATGACCAGATGACACAGGACATACAGTAACTGTGCCCACACGGTATCTGTGCTGGATTCTGCAGAAACATTTTGCACAGAGGACAAATGTATGTGGAAGAAGCATTATTCATGTACTTTTCCAGGGGTTCTTCAGAAGCATGTGAGCTACTCATGGCTTATGCACCGATGCTTGACAGCGGATCTTCCAAACACAGGGGTGCTGTGGTACGTTCTCTTATGAAGAGAAACTGAAAACCTTAGTCTAAAGCCGTCACTGGTTTTGCTGTTATACTTGTAGTTAAACTGCAGATAATCCTGAAGGAAAAAAAAAAAAAAATTTAGCATTGGGAATATACTAAAATAAACAGCCAGTCAATCAACATGCAGTAATAGCATACTTAAATGCAGATCAAAAATTTAAGGACTGCAGTAAGAATTTACCTAACCAAACCAATATGAAAGCTGGAAGAATAACGACTTGTTCATTCCCAAACCATACAAATTTGAATTGTGAAGACACAAACCAAATTAAGAGGCAAGATGAAAAAAGCAGTAACTGGCATCCCCTAATAGGCGTCATTCCATATGTTGCCCTAAAAATAGAGCCTCAGGGGAGCTGCCTCAGAAATCTTGTTCTGGTAAATCCTCCAGTGCTACAGGTTTACAGGAGAAGTCGAGATTCCCAGACAGAAGAGAAAGGCTGCAGGAGTCTAAGAGCGAAAAGACAGCATTGCAAACCAAAGGCGATTACGGTTAGCTCTTATGAAATTAGAAACAGGTTGCCCTTCTATGGTTCTAGATTTTGTTTTATTGTTTTTCATTTCCCTAATTTCTGTTCCTCATATCTATTTCATACAGGTTTTATTAGTTGCATGTTGTTTCTCTGGGCTGCTACTGCACATATTTTGATACCAATACTTTTTAGCAGTGCAAGACTTCTTCATGCAAACAAATTATATTAAGCCTTCCTACTTGTGCTTCGAGATCAATGTCTTTTACTGCAAGACTAACAATTTTGAGAAATTCACAGTGTCATTATCAGCACAATGTACACAGCGGCCAGAAGCTTTTGAATCGAGCTGACCGTATAAAATTAAACCACTGAGTAACCTAGTCTGCTGAAATATCATCTATGCTAAAATCTCAAAATCCAGGAAATTCTAAAATGAAAACATCTTCTGTTTCATATAACATGTTTTAACTTGTAGCTTAACTGTCACTCACTACATGCTACCAGGTACATGATGCACTCGCCAGAAAATGACCAGGTTAATTCAAGAAATGGAAGGCTTTGTTGGGCTGAATTTCCCTATTTCTGTGGTTTTAAGCTGCATTTAGACTACATTATCTCTGTGAAAGGCAGGAAGCAGCACTGAAGTACATTTCCCATTCTGTGTTCTCAGATATCACATTGCTCCATGGGCAGAAATGAGGTAATTATGTGATTCTTAAAATGAGTACTGCACACTGACCTATTGGTTGTATCGCTGCTTGCAGCCTCTCTTATGCTCAGAACTCCAGACTGATCAGAAAAGACTTTGCATCCTCTGACCATACTTTATCGCACAGTCCTGACGATGATACCATCTCTGGTAAATCTAAAAGTTGTCCAAGAATCTCAGAGACTGTGGGGTGGTTACTGTCTTGCAGTCAACTTTTTTTGACAAATAATTTGGGCGATACGAAGAAAAAAATGTTGCCAGCAGACATGAAATGAGTATTATGGCACTACACATGAAAATACATATATTTTGTATCCGCTAGGAAATGAGTGCAGCATTTTCAGTAGCTGAACTTTTGAAAAATGTCTTTTAAAAGTTGTGGGGTTTTGGGGGGAAGGAGGGGCAGGGAGTAAAGTACTAATATTTATAGTACCTGTATGAAAATAATGTTCTTGTGCTCCCTCTGCTGTTTTGGTCACAGTGGAAAACTGGGAGGGTTTCACGAGCTGTGTATATTCCTTCATATACAGGAAGAAATACTCATGCCTAAATAAAAAAGGGAGTCATTTCTCCTGGCAAAAGACTTTTCAAAAATAAAGAAGCATGGTGTAAAAATTAAGGATAAAAAGCATTATCCATTGGAAAAGGAAGCTTTTATACATGATACAATATCACGGACATACTTGGGCTTTCTTTAAATTAACATTAAAGTCTGTTCCATTAAGAATACTAATAAGATATAATTCCACATGAGTTCTGAATATTATTGTAATTTAACTTATGCTATTGTTATTTACTATCACAATTGTTCAAACAGTTTTTACCAAGACTGCAGGGTTAATATCCAAAATACAGTCTTTCTAAAATACAAGCAGTGAGAAACATACTACTAGTTGTTAAAATCGTCTATTTTCTCTACACAGATGGATGACATACCAACACTATCTATCAGAAGAAACACCAAATGCAAGAACATCAAAAGTATTTAAAATTGGTTGAAACATCTCATATAACAAATAATAATAAACAATGTCTGGAAAGAGGACTTACCAAACTGGTTAACGACTCAAATTGTTAGCACATCATCAGCAAGGGGAAACACTAGATCTGATCTCTCTCAAAGTGGGATTCCCCTGTATCACATGCTTGATTTTTCATTGTAGTAGCATGACTATTTTCTTTTTAAACACTGCCTCCTTTTAACCTCAGGCTAACAACATTTACATTTGTGTAAGGGCATTTTTCTCTTTATTAAGAGACTGAATCAGCTGCAAGAGGGTATAATTTCTACTTTTAAAATCTAAAAATCAAGAAAAGATGACATTTTTTTATAATGTTTTTGCAGAGAAATACATCACAGGCAGTTCCACCTTGGTGAACATGCAAATTACAAAACAGTTATTGTATTCTAAATATCGGTATTAATTAAAAAATACCTCTTATAAAGCAGGAGCACATTAATTTTTTTCATCATAACAGGCCTGATCTGAAGATGACATATAAGCAGAACAGTTAGCACTCCTCTATCTAACATAAGCAAGGAAGACAAGGTAGCAGACTGCCCAACTTGTTTTAATAACAGACTTTGCAAAAAAATTCTTAAGTAAACTAGCACACCCCTTAAGATCTTCCTATGCTTGAGATGAGTGGAAAGTTATTGTGTGACTTCATTACTTGTAAAATATCAAGGTTTTTTATGAAAAATAGCTTTGCTTTTGCAGCAAAAAGCAAAAAGCTATGCAGCACTTCAGAAAAATGCTTTTTGTCTCATCAGACAAACTGTCACGGCATGTCCAAAACATTCCATTGGCTCTTCTCAAAAAAACTCCTTAGAAAACACTGTTAATCCTCTGAATATACTACTGTCACTTCACAAATAATAACTGTCTGTGCAGATTCAACAAACTTGTAATGAAAGTTCTCTCTTTCATACACAAATAAGATTTTAAAAAACTTCTCATTGAATGTTTTACTGATCTGGAGAATTTTCCATGCCAAAATGCTCTGCAAATGAGAGTATCTTCAACACATATAAGCATCACTTGGTAACTGAAATGTCACCAGGTATAGTTAAGTTCTTCCTGACTGTTTTTTAACATCATAAATTCAGTTTATTTATTTATAAATAGTAACAGTTGACCATTAACTGTTGCAACCTACAGAATATGAACCATAAGTTTCCAATATGTTTCATTTCCATTGCAGGGGCTGGGTTTTTTTTGTTTGAGACACATTGCAGTGTTTCAAGACACTGTTAAATCTCTGCATTTCAGATGCAGACTGGAAGAAACTAATTTATTAAAACTTTGTACATCTTCAGGACTGTTTAATTTAAAAATCTATTACTCCAACCGTGTGTTGAATGAAAAATGTCACTCAACATGTTAAGATAAATGCCTGGATACTAGCTTGGGTAAAAAGAGCAGGATTTTGTCATCTGCAGGTCTAAGGGAACTAAAAAAGCACAATGGGGGTCAGGAGTACCTGGCTTCAGTATGGCTCTGGGCATAATCTAAAATAGCTTAGGAGTTGTCTTCCATCATTCTTACACTACAGTACTTGACTGAAGTTGGAAACTGAACACTTAAAATAGTCACTATAAAGGAACTGGGGCTGCAGTTAAGGTGTTTGTCCTAAGTACTTGGATGTTATTATGCTAGGTTAGATAGATTTTTTTTTTTTTAAATTTGCTTGGAAATTAAAGTTGTAACAAAATTATTTGAGAAACCATTTTATTTTTCCTTTTATTTTTTTCTTATGAAGGAAGGGTTATGTTTTAATAAGACATCAGATTTTAATGCTTCTAAGAGTTATTCTGGCACAAGACAGTACTTTCCATGTGGGTTGGGTTTATTTTTTGGGTTTGTTTTTTTTTTTTTTTTACAGTCAATCCACTTCACTTCCTCTGACTTCAAATGTCTTTGCAGTATTCTGCATTATTCTCCCATCCAAGCCTAAAAATCATACTTTGAACATTACTTTGTTATAAGAATGTGGCTATGAAATACAAGCAAAGACCAGTTTTCAAGATGAACTATTAATGGATGTTAAGTTTGGAAAGGAATTACTAAACAGCTGAGGATTTTTTTTTTTTTTTTGAGATTTGATCTGTATGTTTAATTTAAAAATTCTCCAAGTAATCAACAGCCACTGATGATGAGATCTTCAGCAAAATCTTCCATTGTATTTAAAAACTCCTGGCAAGATGTACATGCTGTACTTGAAGGCCACCACTCAATCCAAGTGCTGGAGTCCAAAGGGTACTGGAATCTAAGACGACAAAAGAAAATGATCACTTGCTGCTAAGATTTGGGGAGGAAAAAGTCAAACAGAAAAAAAATGACAATATGAAATTACTTGCTTTGTGTTCATAATCCTGTTTTAAATGCATGCATCTGAAAACACATTGTGTAACTATTGGTCGAACTAATACGTAACAAATTAAATTAATTATATATTACATAAGAATTATTCCATACAAACACTTGGCACTTCACAGCACACTTTAAGATTAAATCTCTGCATATTCTGACGGTAAGTTACTTACATGAAATTGTAACCAATGTTCATCTTTAAGGCTTCTTTTCCCATGATCAAATACTGCTGTCCTGGACTCAAATCAACATCTGTACAGCTCTTCTTTTTCACAAAGGTTACTTCATTATTTTTTTGAGCAAAAGCCTGCCCTGAAGTAGAATGTCAAGAATTGGAAACTTTCACAAAGAGAACTTCCAGTCATTCATATGTTAGACAGAAAACACCAAAATGTTCTTCTACAGTACAACACAGCCAAGGGATCTAGTTGCCACGAGTTATATAACAGAAAAAATTGGTGATATAAAACATGTTTCTTGTAAAAGATTTTTAAAATTAAATCTGAATAGTAAATAAGCCTCATGCACATTAAATAATTTTATATTATAGTAATTATAAGGACATACTGGGTGCTTAAACTCAGAGGAAAAATGAGTATCAGCTTCAGTTCCGCAGGACCTACGAGCAGCTACCTCTCCCAAAAGTAAGACAGTGAGTGCCCAAGAACATTCTAAAGTCCTTTCTCCCAGAAGCAGAAACATGCCCAACCTACAAAAATCTGAGAAAAGTTAAGGCACGGCATATCCCTGCATATTACCCCACTTCAGTCATTGTATATACAGTGAAGGAGGGCATTCTGTGGCATGGATGAGACATTTAAACAACAGCTCACAACTATTAATTGATTATGGAATATGTTCACCTTGTTTTGTCACATAAAAGACATTTAACTGATTACTGTTTAGGTTTGTTAACAACAGCTATAATACAGAAAAGCTGTTTAAAAACACCAAACAAAGACTGCCCTTCTCAGGGCACAAAAGAATTCTCAAAGGCTGTATTTGGGACTACGGTTTTCTAGTCTCATTAAATGACTAGGTTTGACTGCTGACTTTCATCAGCTGCTTCAGTGGTGTCAGCCAGACAGCTTTTACTCTAAATAAATCATTAAATAGATTAAGAACAGGACACCCACCTCTTTTATACAGATCCAGAAGAGATGCAGAATACTTTACAAAATAACCTTCTTCATTGCGAGATAAGATCTTCACTTTATAAACTGCAGAACAACACAAAACAAACTTTTTGTTACTCATTGTTCCTGCAATACATGCAAAATGCCTTACAGATGCTCAGATGGAGAATACAATGTCCCTTTAAAATACTGATTTCTGGGAAAATGATGGCTATAGCTATACACTGTACGGCTAAGAAATATTAACAAGCTCTACCCATGCTCTCATCCGATGCCCCACAACCTCCTCTGACCCCAAAGCCACCGGATCATGTTAGAACGGTACCAAGCAAGAGAAACACAGTGCTTATTAGCAAAATTCACCAGTTCGGGCTCACTGGTGCACTAACCCTGGTTATGTGACTTTTATTCAGCAGAGGGTATGGGTAGCACTTACTCTTCTCTGCTCCAATACGTCACCTTCATATACTGTATGCCACTGTCAAGCCTACTGAATTTTAATCACTAAAGATCTAACTGGAACAAAGTGTTTTGCAGCAGTAGTAAACAAGTAAACATTTCAGTCAGAGCACGTGAAATAGGTAATGCCAATTCAAATATTACCATATGCGATGTCATTCTTGCATGCAGCTTCTCTCCTGGTATGAGCAGTTATTGACTGATCTAGTCTCTTTTGTACTTTACTACATTCAGCTACATTGAGAAAGAAAAAAGCCAGTGTTAAGAAATGTCATCACATGTCGTTATATAAAACATCATGAACCCCTACCTGTTTGGGGTAATCTGCTGTAACTGAGAAACACCGTAATTATGGGATTGCATGCTGGAACAATGAATATTTAAAATACAAAATAACACCCTCAATCGTCTGAACTTAATCCAGTCAGACATCCATGATCATACTGCATGCCTTTTTTTTAAATGTAAAATTTGGAGAGGACAACAGCTGTGTTCTTATGAGGATTTTTTTCCTTGTGTTTAGTGTGGTTTTGTCCAAAGCACTACACTGCATTTTCCACCAAGTGAAACAGGAAAATATCTTAAAAAAAGTTTACCTTCCATGCATTTGCATTCATCTCCTTCACACAATCTCACAAGTTTTTCATTTCCATAGGGGTTATAAAATACAGTGCACCTTTTATCTAGAAGATCCAAAAAGAAATAATAAAGACATATAGAAAATCAAAGTCCAAAAAGTCAGCACTGAAACTTTGTGAGTCAGAAGTTACCTGAGCTTAAAATAAAAAGGATTAAAAAGCTGTTGAAGAAGGAGAAATGTAGGCTTTAAGGAGGAATAAAGAGTTAAAAGACAATTGTGAATTTGAAGATATGGAACACATACCTGGTGCATGATATTCATATACAGTGAATGTGGCAGGATTTAGCATTCCAACCCGGAAAAGCTCACTTACTCGGAACTCAACACAGAGGAAATTATCAGCTGGCACCTATTTGAAAGACACATGAATTAAGGAGCTCTAAAGGAAACAACATTGTCCCAAAAAGTTACAGTAGTGCTTACAGTTATGAAAAGGGCAACTTACAGAGTCTATCTGCAGAATAACATGTCCATCTTTTATCTCATAATCTGGTATCAACTGATCAACTCCACTTGCAAGCTGTAGGAGAGAAAAACAGAGAAAAATCTTTCATACAAGTTGAACATTTTTGGATGATCTTGATGGTTTTGTAATCAGTAGCTTTAACAATTCTGAGATGTAAAAAATACTTATTTTAGGGTTGCCTCTTTATAATGCTCATACTCTCCCTTGGTTTTTTGGTTTCCTTTTAAGGAAATTATCCTTTTACTCATTACATGAAGATAATAAAGAATTAAAGAGCTAATTATCCTTAAAAGAATACTTCAGTTCACATAATACCCTATTTAAATCTTATCACTCTAACTCCGATTGCCTTAAACTAAAATTCGCATGATTGCCAATAGGAGCTGGATGAACACAAGCGCTACAGTTAAGATTCAGTTCACAAACTTTAGCCAACTAATAGTTAGGTGTGTATACTAACAGTGTTCCCTTTACAGTTAGCAGATACAGCATCTCCAGAGGTTGAGTCACACCACCCTAACACATACGACAACCACTGTCTATCCGCTCTTGGCTTTCCACTAACAACAGAGGGAGCCTAGCTGTCAAACTGTAACTAGATGCCTAGTTCCTGTCTCTATCAAAACCCCATAATCTAGACTTCGCTAGATTATTCTCATTAGTATTAGAAGTGTTTGGAAGCAATGAGGATATAATGATATAAATCTGCACTACTACTCTAACAGAAAAAGATGAAGAACAGTAAATATCATAGTTCTGTCAAAAAAACTTCAATAAAAGGAAAAAGTTCTCTAATACTTACAGTATTTAAGTCTTCTGTATTTGCTTCCAAACCGCTAACCAAACCTATGTCCATCACGGCATGAGCAGACCCTGACTGCGGCTCTCCCATACTGGGCCTGTACCTAAAATAGATTAAAAATAATATTAGTTAAACATAACTGAAATTAAAAAGAAAACTTCAAATGTGATCCCAGAAAAACCTAAGGAAAATTCTACCAACATTTAGACCACAGTAAATCCATAATGAAGCAAAATAGTCTAGATGAATCATTTCAGATTTACGCCAATATCATGCATAAAGAAGCTTTTCTTAATACTTATGCTCCAGGAGAACCCATATATAAATTAAAGAAAAACTCCCTCCCAAAGAGATCGTAACCTTTGGCTCTAATTCTGCTTACACACATACATAAAAGTGAAGAAACAGGAAGAAAAGAAGATCAGAAGACCAGGTGCAATTATTAACAAACAAAAACATTTTAATCTCTTAAAAAATAAAAGAAATTTAACATAAATATGTCAGTTAATGTAATATTAAAACAATAACTAAGACAAACCAAAAGACCAGAAAGCCTTTGCAACATTCTTCGATTAATTTCATAAGGCATATGTAGACCCACAGTGCATTTGCTTTGCACTGCTCCAATTCCTTAACATGTCAGCTGGGAATTCCACCTCTGCAAGGAGCATTGAATGTTAGGAAATCCAGGACATTTAGAACCAGCATTTAGTTAAATGAAACCTTTAAATGCAAAACATTGTCTCAATCACTGGGGAAGGAAAAAAACCAACCAACCAACCAGCCAAAAACCCCATTGGCTGTACTTACTTTGCACAAGCCTCTAAGCGCCCAAGTGGCTCACCATCTTCTTTTCTGTGACCTTTTCATATCAAGTAGAATTAAATAAGTCATTTTATAACTCTTCTGAAGCAACAATCCAAAATTTTCATAAAGCTTTTTCATAATTGAAAGATAATTCTTTCAATTGTTTTGGTGGCTATTTTTATAGGAACTCATTGTCTAGCCACAAACAAGTAACATTATACTTTTTTCAGGTGAAATGACAGCTTTAATGCTTAATGTACTTTATTGTGTGCTTATGTTATTAAAACTACTTCATGGCAAAAGCTCAGAATGTGGTTATATACCCTGTTGTAACTGGGCTAGAACTCTCAGCATCTTGTAGAACTTGCTCTAGCCTCCCCCCAACCCCCATCATATTTCTTTCTTCTGCTGGAAGTTTGTATTCCTTGCTCCCCCAACCACAAAAACTCTTCGTAAATGAGTAAAAATGCACCTAACAGAAATACATTAAAAATGAATTCTATTCACAAAAAGGCAATAGTTTCAAGAAGGGCTAAAAAGGCTTCTAGCAATTTCTTTTCCAGTTTTGCATTTAGAAAATGGCAGAATTTTTTACCGTTTCATTCTTAATAAGAAACACTTTGTTAAACAAAGTAAGGGTTTTTTTTCCTCCCTCCCTTGCACTGACCTGAGTAGTAATATTTAAAACCATATGAACCCTTTACCATCATCTCTCTTTGGAACAATCTTCAATTCAAAGTTACATGACTCTTCAGAAGTCCCGATTGTGTTATACACTGTCCTCACCTACACGTGTACAAATAAGACAAAACAGAAGCAGTAAGCAATCTTCAAAACTGGCATAAAACTATGAAAACTCATAATACGTAGAATATAATACCAGTAAAAACAAGTCTGTACAGCATGCTTACAGCATGACACAAAGCAGAGTAAATAAATGATCAGCACAGAAAGACATGGGGAATTCTTCAGCAAAACCACACCATTCTTGCTGGTCGTATTTACAAGACTAAAAATATTATCCAAACCACCCTGATATTTTATGAATATAAATACTAGTACACAAGAATATGTACATTTCAGATGTTATTAAGTTTGATGCTAGAAGCAGCTATGAAAGATTAGAAGAAAATATATCAGGGGAACAGCTTAACGTTTAGGCACACAAAAATTATTCCTTTAAATATTGCATGAAAACAGTTTCTCAATGACATTGCTTACTAAACTAAGAGTAAACAGCAGAATAACAGAGAATTGCGCAATTTCTCAAAATTGATCACTAAGTTGGGTCTTCTCTGTTTGGCTGTCTAAGTAGAGACAGTAACAATTGATGAGCATTAAAACCAAGTTGATCATCTATTTAGATTTATGGAACAGAAAACCTCCGATGAAAAGGAAGAAACTTCACAGCTTCTCTCTCATTAGCCATAAGTTGTACAATGGCTTGTGCTTAATCTAACATATAGCCATAATGACATCCATCACTTCAGTCTGAAGATAAGGGTAACAAATGGAATAGTTTATGAGAAATTTCAGTTTCTTTTCCAATGTTGATATTGACAAACCAGACATGCCATTTAAAAAAATTGGTTGCATACTTACATTTACTGTAGCTATGCCAGTGCTGCTTCCAGTGCTTACATATATGTCATCATCCAAAGGTACCTAAAGGATTGATGTTAAACAAAAAGTTCTAAGTTAACAGTAAAGATAGCGCTATTAGCAACAATTCAGGTCAGACAATCTGCTTGTCTTTTCTGCATTTTAAATACATATTAAGGCCTGATGCTACAAACAGGTTCTACAAAAAAAAAAAACCCTTCATAAGAACAAGCAGAAATACTAAATTTAAATGAATATTCAAATGCATTAAGTTTAGCAGATAAGCAAAGTCCTTAAACATTTTCTACACCAAATTACGGCCAGTTTATTAAAAGCAAAAGCTACTTCAGCAGCAATTTCAAAGTTCCAATAATTATTTAAGAAGTTGCTAAGAATTCTGCTTTTCCTTTTCAAAAGCGCTACTATTCACTCACTGTCGTTGCTCTTCCCACAAAATTATCTTCTGTCAGTTTAAATAGATGAAGGTCTCCATACTTTTTGTATGCCACTTTAACATCCATGTCCAAATTAAGCCGTTTGACAAGAAGGGAATATTCAGTCAAGGCCTCCAGGGCAGTAATTGTGTCCTGCCAGAAATCAATTATAAAGAATTAATTCCAGAAATTAAAAAGAAGAGGAAAATGTATTACAAAGCAATCTGTTTTCTGCCACTTAAACATGATTACAAACAATGGTAACCATTGCTGGCTAAACAGCTTAGCAGTGTCTCAGCAGTACACTTAACATGGTGATAACATATTTAACACTATACTCATAAAAATATTTGTGCAATTTAAAGAAATGCATGCAAGTACTAAAAAGGAAGCAAGCAAATAACAATAAACAAACACAGCACTCGTCAGTTTGTTCACAGACTTTTAATAATTGAAAAAAAAGGGAGGTTGCATGAATTGGAATATTCTATATAGTATGACTAGTTGATAGTGTACTAGACATCTGGCAACTTTCACTTGACTCTTAGTCTATTCATAGAATCATAGATGCTTTGGGTGGGAAGGGACCTTTAGAGCCCACCCAGCCCAACCCCTGCAGTGGCAGGGACAGCTTTAACCAGAGCAGGGTGCTCACAGCCCCGTCCAACCTGGCCTGGGATGTTTCCAGGGATGGGGCCTCCACTGCCTCTCTGGGAAACCCCTTCCAGTGCTTCACCACCCACATTGTAAAAAATTTCTTCCTTATATTCAGTCTAAATCTATCCTCCTTTAGTTTAAAACCATCACCCCTTGTCCTGTCACAACAGGCCTTGCTAAAAAGATTGTCCCCATCTTTCCTATAGGCCCCCTTTAAGTACTGAAAGGCCACAATAAGGTCTCCCCGCAGCCTTCTCTTCTCCATTCATGCATATAATAATATTCATACATATTAACACAGTTTTTACAATGAAAAAATGCATAGTTTCTTACTCTGCATTCCATTTTTGTGGCAAACAAGAAAAAAACATGTCATGAAATCAAATATTCTGTTTCATAAAAAACTTGGCAAATGATTCTTGTCATTCAGCAGATTTGAAGTCAGTGGAATCAGCTTGCAAATTTCTATTGATAATAGACTTCAGAAAAGAAGTCGTATTTCCCAGAGACAAAGAATACCATGGCAACAGAGTCATTTGATACTAAACCCACATATAGGACAGCGAAGTTGTCAATGTGGTCTTCTAATGATATTACCCTCTTAAGAGGTCTCAGATTTTGGTACTTGAAGAATGAGAACAGAATATTTAAAAGCTCACCTGAGTTGAATAAAATCCTCCACCATACCTTTGTTCTTCAGACAACCATCTGATGATTGGATTAGCATAGTTTTTGTCCCCTCTTAGCAACGCAGTAAGCAAAGCATATGCTGTAGTTTCAACCATTTGTGCAGTAACAGAGCTGGGAGCGTGCTGGTCTGGTGTTTTGAAAGTACCTTTCCAAAAACGGTACATAGGAGGGTCACCTACACAAGTAGGAAAGGAAGGTTTCAGGTCGAAACATAGCAACAGCTCTCTCCAGACTACACAAGGTGAACTATTGCCTACCCAGGTCAAGGAGAAGAGGAGGAACTCGCTCTGCATTTAACAGGAGGTGAAGACACACTTCTCTTTTACGCTAGTAAGTCTGATGTTTATACTAGAAACTGATGATAAACAGACCTGACGCAAAGCATCTGATGCACATCTGAATATTGCTGGTCCTGAACAGTGACCGAGTAGCCAAACAAATAGAATACAGATTTAAAATTTATTCTTTTTTAAAGCCACTTTCAACAGACAGGACAGAGCTTTTCTATTCCAGTAGAAATCATTAGTTGGCAGAGAACAGTCTGAGTCCCTTGCCTGTGACAAAACACACTAAAAAGGAACGGCCTTCACAAGAGACTACAAAGTCCCTCATCAACCAGTGAGAAATTAAGAAGAAAACAGAAGTGAGGGCAGTGACAGGTACTGTAAAAAATTCCACTCTGAGCCAAGGAAAAGAGTGGACATATCTTAAGGATGAGGAGGCAGACAAATGTAATCCACTACGGACACCTGCATAAAAGGCAAGCCTATAGACAGAGCCAGCGGAATACGATGGGGAATGACAGATGCCTAGCTGACTTGCATACTGCTAATGAAATTGCACTGCTGAAAAGCTGAAAGTGTGATTCAATCTAGCAAAAATACTAGGCCACACAAGACTAGAAATTCACTTATGCCAAAGTAAGCATCACTGAAATTCACTCTCAGAGTAGTGCCATCACATTAGAGAGTTTAAAAATACTAAAAGAACAGCCTACCTGAGAGCCAACTACAGTACAAACTCTGAGAATTTAATAATACCTATGACAGATGCTTCCTTCTTCAGTGTAGAGAAAATCAATCGTGCAGACTGATGGTTCAAATCCACAAGAGCCAAAGCATACGAAGTTATTGCCATAGTAAAGGGACTTTGAGCAGACGGCACATTTTTCGTCAAATAATCTCCTGCTTTATTTTTAGCATCATAGATTTTCTGAAAGGATGAACAGGCTACAGCTTACATCTATTAGACTTATTTTTCAAGAAACACATCTATCAAGACAATATAGGTGTATATAGTATCTTCTACAGTATATCTTATAATAAATTGATCAAGAATTTCATTATTATTCTTTTACAGATTTTGAAAGACAAACAAAGCAAATAAATCCTAATTTTTTAAATTGAAAAAAGACTCATGATTTCTTTGAACAAATGCTAAAGAAAATGGAAGAAATTAGAATCCCAGAACATGTCTGCTGGCAGAAATAAAAATATTATTTACCTGAGTAGGACATATTTTAATGGACTTTACAATTCCAATAAGAGAAAATGCTGTGAGATACAAAGATTTTTCTTTAGCTTCTCTAGGTAATGTACCCTACAAAATAAAATATGTAAATATAAATAAGTAGAAACAACAGTTAATTTAAATAGAATTTTTTACAGTTTAGTTGAGGAAACAAACAGAAATTCCTGTAAGAAATACCAGTTTGGTTTAACCTGAAAATATGTTGACTCTTTTGAAGGTGATGGCTTATTTGTAAAAAAGAGACAAAATTACATAAAGATATTGGCAAGCCAGGACTATTATACTGTAAAATCAACCTACATAAACTTTTTCTAAATATTAAGAAGTGGCAAGCAGCTAGTTTTAATAGGAAAACAGAAAGGTTTGCAAGATTGTGCTGTTCCTCAAATGAATTCAGAAAAATGCAAATTTAGCAAAATTGCCTTGAATAGGTGTTCTGGTGAAATGCAGCCTAAAATATCTTGCATTCCTAAAAGACATTACCTCCTGGTGACTTCAGTTTTTAGTGTATATGCACAGAAAACGTTTGGGTTTCATACCTGTAGTTTCACTGGCTGGTAATTTGAAAATTCACTGAATGACCCATCTGGCATTTGACAGTTATCAACCAACCACAGAAGCGAATTACAAACAGAAATTTCATCAAGATTTATATATTGATTAACTTGTCCAAGAATCCTTAAAGCAAAAGCTGTCAACCTGCCAAGGAAATCAAACAGATCATATTTGTTTTTATTAGCAGATACTACCACATTGCTAGAGGGTAGACACAAATTTGCACTATTTATGATTTAGGTATGCTACACACTCCCACAGTTCACAGCAATACTGCAGATGAATTTTGAATTTAACTTAACAAATGGGCAATAATTAATCAAATCATTTTAAACTAGGATCAATTTCCATGTTTCAGGTCAGGATATGAACTCATTACATCCCCAAAAGATTACTTTTTCCATATGCACAGAACTTCAGGAAGATGCCTTTGAAGCATCTTCTTCCTTCCTTCTATTAAGCCAACTGCATTTGCCATTCTGAAAGGCAAGGCAGTGACTATGTATTTTGCCTAATTTTCAACGGCAGATTCTGTTTTCCATAAACAGTACTACCCCTCCCGTTTGCTACCCTTTAAATATCATATTTGTGTGGACAAGAGGTATGTCTATTTTACCCTTGCTCATCTCCCCGTACTTAGCTTTCGGACTTCAAACTTGGGGTGCAAACTTTGCCTAAGCTTATAATTCTGCAGGGAACCAAGGTCTACACAGTCCTTTTGTAAAATTCCAAGCCCAAAAGAGTTTTCAGAACTGAGCAAAATCCTGCAAATTATCTCAGGTACGTCTGCTCCCAACCATTGGCCCAACTTGATTGTAATGGTGTGAACTATGGGCATAAACAAAAAATTTACCAAGTGAAAGCAAGGAATCAAAAGATATTATCCAAAGTTGTAAGCACCATTTAAATCTACCATTAAGCTCACCTCTCATGCTTACTAGAAAGTATCACCCTTTAAAAATTAGTTATAATATGAAAGCAAAGGAGTGAAACAAGCCTTTTCCACCCATTCTAATCAAAAGACCTTTTTAACTCACCACGTGCTGGCTTGCCCATTCTTCCACATGCTATACGAGAAGTCAGAATTTCTGAATGACAAGATGCTTACAATTCCTAAGGAATGTATTAGGCAGAAAATAAGTTATGAAAAGAGATTTATATTAAAAAAAAAAGTATTTGCTCACTCAGATATATTATCTTTCTCATTCAGCCAAGTTTATGCACCTCTACAACTCTAAAGCAAGAGAAGAAGCTATATTTTTCTACCTTCTTTCATCTTCCTCCTCATTTTAGTTCTTGAAGTTAAGGTTTCGGGACCCAGTACATGCCAGTTATTTGACTCTTCCAAGTAGTGAAACACATAAAATACTGGGGCAATAGTCATAAACTCTGCCTCTGCACTGCCCTTTGGCAGATCAGTAAGAATACTCAAACCACTAGGTGTGAGGATTGTGGCAATCGTTTCACCCATAAGATGTCCTGGGGAAAGAAAAAAACAAAATTGCTTATAAGCAATCATTCTGTATGAAGTATTTAAAATTCCACACAAAAAAGTGATTAGCAAAGCCTTTTCTCAAAAGCAGGAGAACCTAGGAATAAATTCAGACTGATTTAAAGAAAGGAATAACAAATAGGAGAAAAAGAATATATATACAGAAAGTACATATGCAGTAGACTAAAAGTTTAGATCCAATTTACCTTTCACACTGACACTTCTATCAATTTTTGTTTTAGGGACCAGGTTCAGTGGGATTTTATATCGAAATTCTTGTCGTCTCTTGATTGAACCTATAATTGAAAATGTATATATATCATACCGCACAATGGAAATCAACAGATGATTCAGGTGTAATAGCCAGATTTAAAGGTCACAACTATCTGAGAAGTCAGCAACAAAAATACCTATGATAACATGAAAACTAGAAATATGCCCAAACGCACATGCAAGCAGTATCAACCTTTGAAACACAACAGATGCAAACACTTTAACCTTTCTTTTGCCTTTTTGGTTAAGAAAAAAATCTGATCTGGACCTAAACTTTGTAGTTTCAGATTCATCTCTGGTTAAATGAGAACATATTCTATTTTCATTAAGAAAGCACCTGCTAACTGGTTTTCAAGCACAGTGAGAAAAGCTGAGTTTGATTTCCTAGTAAAAGATACACATAAATGTTCCTTTAAGAAATGAATCCAAGTATTTTTTTTAAAGACTAGTTATTTTCAGATTGATTGGTTACTCAATGAAAGGACAGGAAATCCTTGGAATGAACATATGAAGAATATTCCAGGAAGGAGAAAAGGCAATTTTTTCACATTTCAGAAAACTTGATCATCATGAATCAAGAAAATGAAAAAATAAACAAAGTAAAGACATATACGGTCAATTCTCTTACCATAAACACCCTGTGGATCCAAAGTGAAACCTGCATGAAGTTCTCTCTTAATGCCTTCTGGCTGAAATCATTAAGAAGAAAGAAGTAGGAAATGAAAATATTTTTCCTTAATCAAATATATTAGCTGAAACAACAGTTTAAAACCATAGTATTTTCACCTTCTACATCCTTCTCTGTAGTTCAGTTTTACTTAACTGTTCTACATCTATTCTACATACATTTGAGCTAGTGTTCTAGCTCCCAAAATTCTTGAGAAAATTTAACAAAAGGTTTAAATCAAAGTCTTATGAAAGTATAAGTATAAAATTACAAGAAAGTGTCTTTCAGTGAAGCATGCTTAAGCAGTTGAAAATCCAAACCAAATAACTTAGAATACAGTATTCTCCTTGCTTACTAAGTTATAATCTATCTGGGCAAGAAAGATATATAATCTTTCTGACAATTCTTGTAATCAAGGTTTAAAAATGTGCACACTCAAATACTCAGTCATGCATTTTTCCACCGCATACACCTCAGTGAATTCAATGATATCATGTGATATTTTGGATTCTGATAATATTAAAATAAATCAATATTTATATATTGATTTAATATATTTTTATTTCTTGTGACTGAATCAATATGAAATTCAAAAACACAACAAACATTTTGATTTTTTTTTCTTACCATTACACGTAACTTTTTAACCACAATTTCACTGTTCCCGTCTGCCAGCAATGTAAAGTTGATAGTGTGAAGACCTAATTCCAAAGGAAGTATTCTGAATGTAACTGCTGATGAAGAACTGCCATCTAGATTCTTAAAATTACAACTGTGTAGCCTCGATCGAGTAGTTGCAGATTCTCTAGAAGAACAGATTCCATTTCCAGCTGCTATTTTAACACAGAACTGAAACGGTGAAAGATTTTAAATGTTTCACTTCCATGACAGGTACAATGCCAGAGAAATATTAAAGCTATTCAAATACTATAATGAGCATACTATTACTGTAATACTACTTTTCTGTTTACAATGAGCAAGTGTTACTAACTTTGGAATTACTATTACTTGCACTAGAGACACACTAACAAATGTTCACTAGCAACACCAGGGAACCACTATAGTAGGCTTCATACACATACCTGCTTCATATGCATACCTTGGCATACTATACTCAAATTTTGCACTTCTGTTTGAATGTATTGCCTTAAAAATAGTCCTTTTATATTAAATCCCTAGACAATGTAATCTGTGAGCTCTGGAGCACGTGATTCAAAAAGTCCCATTGCTTTTTGACACTGTGTCCAAACAATTGGAATAGAAAAATTGTATTTTAAATTTCATCGGGCAAAGTTGCTAGGCAAGAGCACGACAACACTGTAATCAATGGAGTGGCTGGAAATGAAACAATGATTGGATTTAATTGTTACATAGTTATGTAGACCATACCAAACACTAGCTGAAGGACTGGAGAAATCTGATCCAAGGCTCTGTTTATACTGGATACTCACAGAGGAAATGCTTTTTTAGTTTATTATGCTAATCTTTCCATAGAACTCACTAAGACCACAAATTACCTTAATTGCAGAAGCTCTATGGTTATAAACTGATCCTTTTAACTCAATTTGTTCTCCTCGCACCACAGAATAAGGAACATGAACGCTCAGGAAGACATCTTTTACAACTTGCACTTCCAACGGTGCAGCAACACATATACCTATGAAAATTAAAAACATAAAAGTAGACTATCTTATCCACCCTTCTGATAAACAAGTTTGAAGAATTCTTCACACACTTGCCACCTTTACTGATGACTTATAATTTTTCAGTATGTACTTTGAAATTGTCCAAGCTTTTTTAAAAGTGACCAGGCTCTCGCTTCCTGTTCCAAGTTGCCATCTCCCACGCTTCACACATACTTGCTGACCTATCAGTCCTTTGGGCTTCTTCTCCTTCTTCCCAAAGGGAGAAACAGATTTTCTGTTTGGACTACCATATCTATCGGAAAATTTGTTTCTTCCTCTCCTTGAGTCCCTGAGCTATTGATAGCAGGGCACTGTAAAGTTGTGCCAGGGAAGAGTCACTCACTATTTGTTCTCATATTCTTCTTAGTCATTTATTACAGGACACCGTCAAACGCAAGCTAGGCTAGACAGACCTTTGTTCTCCCAGCCACCTACATTCATAACAAGAAATGAAGTAATTTCCTTTCCCTAAAATACATATTTTGATGTTTTCTTTTCCTGTTTATCAACCAGAAAATTAACATTTTAGAACATATGCGTCAACTGCAATGACAAGTTCTGCAAAATCCAAACGGAAAAGCTCCCTAATTCTTTAGCTACAATCTAATTAGCTTGTAGTACCTACCTTTATCAGAAATGCCAATGCCTTGTATTTCCCAGGTAGTCAGCGAATCAGGCAAGGTGATAGACAGAGCCTTTGACCTGTGTTTAGAAATGTTAGTACATTTATACATTATCAATAGCCATCTCTTAACACCAACAGCTAATCAACACAAAGACAGCACGTGCCCAGAGCAACCCCCGTATCTAAGAGAGACTTAGGTAAAACAAGATATGAGAGCATATTTAGAAAACACAACTCCTGGATTTTTGTTTGAATAAACTTGGTTTTAGCAAACTTTGCAGGAGCTGGTGTTTAGCAAGGTCAAACGTGAAAGGAAAAGTGCCTCAACAATCTGGGCACCAGACAGCATATCCTGCATGGAGGAAAACATGGCAGGAATAGTTTGTTTGTATAAGACTGCATTTTAGCACACATCTCGGTACAACTAAGGCTACCCAGCTTACCTCAATTTTAGCATTTATCTTCTATAAAACTGATGACTAAGTCAAATGTTGGTAACTGATTTGAGGAAAGCATACCTTGAAGAAACTTGGTGAACTTCCCATAACCAGCTTTCTGGGAAGTAGCTACGAACTTGTGCCTCATCCAGTTCCAAAAAAGCCTCAAAATCTGAAGAACATAAATAAAGCAAGTGAAAAAAAGAAAGAACCAAACCACCTGCCAACAGCCTTCCACCAAAGTCTTCAAAATCATTATCTGTTTCTTTTGTGATACTGTATTCTGCTTACTTGCCTCAGGTTAGTCCTGATACGAGCAAAAAGGTGTCTGAATACCCTCAGTCAAAAGCCTGTGTTAATCCCACCTCATCTATCTACACATGTGAATACCTGTCCAATATCCAGACAGAGTAACTTGTTAACAAGCAATTATAGGGAGAGAACGGGAGACAAGAAATTTCACACTCCCACTGATCTTTCCTGAGATGTTACCATGGGCTGTTTTGGGTCTGGGTAAAGGGTTCAAATTTAGCATTCAAGTTTAGCGTTGCCTTCACAGACAACGATGCTCTCTTATTGCAGTTCTGCTTCTTCTAAGTACGGGTGACTTGAATATAGCTCTTAACAGAATAAAGAACTGCTCTCCCACCCCTCTTTAGGGGTATACAACCAAGGTCTTTGAAGATTGGTAAAATTCTCTCTGGACTAACCCTGACAGGTAATAGGGAGGGGTTAATAGATTAACAAAGCTATCACCTCTATATTTGCCCATATTCTGCTGGAAGTGTTTCACCACATGTCCACAGGAGAGTTAAAGCTCTTGTACTTACGCATTCTCGCCAATATTAGAAGCTTATTAGGCTCTTCCTCCCGCAGTCTGTTTGCAAATTCACAGCAATCTCTGAATGCAGAAATGCACTTTGCATTACTCTGAATTCGCTGAGCTCTATCTCTGCAAGTCTCACTGACTGGATACGCTCTTACTCCAGCCATGCAGCATTTTCGAACTTCTGGATGTACATACTTGGATGCTGAAATAATAATAAAATAATTCCCTTCCTTGAGATGAAGTTTTTATTTTCCAATGCATCTTTAACTCATTATACTGAACGTATTTTTAAAACTTGCAGAATTTCAGTGAAGGTACAGATTTGAGGATGAACATAAACTTGACATTTTTCAAAAGCTGGTGACACGCACTGAATCACTACTATTCTGAATTAAGAATATAAATTAGATACGAGGAGCTGTATTACATTTTAAGATTTAACAGTGAAAGGTTCATCTGACAGGCTTGGTCCTTGGCAGGCGGTCACTGGGAAAGACTGCCATATGGTAGTACTGTGACTTTTCAGGCTGTCTCTTCAGAAAAAGAAAACATCTTAAACATATGGTGTATTTTTGATGTGTACTTAAATCTTGTTGACTTCAAATCTGGCATATGGCTAAGAGGCTTTATAAATGGGGTCCTCTCTAAAGTCCTCTTCCATATTTGTCAGTCTCTCTCCACTACGTTAAATTAATAACAATAATTAAAAGTAGTAAGCAAACACTCAGATTCTTGATTTCTAATGGGTGTGATTTTTGTTCATAATTATATACTTAAAAAAAAAATTTTTAACACCTTCTTTGAGTATCCGCTCCTTGAAGTCAGACCGTTTGGTTCTTAAAACTTGATTGCAAGTTTCATCTGTTCAAAAAATAAATAAGTAAGTACAAAAGACATGACCTTTTTTGTAATAGCATAGCCCACTTAAAAATAATTCCTTAAAATAACATTCAAAATTTGGGACACTTTTTCTGTTTACTATTTTAATGACCTAAAAGTATTTTCATTTCAATTGCAATAACTGATCCACAAGTCATAATGTTTTCCTCCCTCAAAAATCATTAGTATACGTATCCTTAATTTAATGAAGTTCCAACCTAATAACTTGAGAGTCACAACAGAATATTTCAGAAAAGAAAATCCACAATTTCATGCTTAAAACAAAAGGCATATACCTGCTTCATTTGAATCATCAGCATTTGCATTAGTTAAAAATGTAAGCCCAGCTGTTCGGAATACATCAACATTGTTCCGTCCTCCTCCAGCACCACAGCCAAGGTCACTCTTTTCCAAATGTAGCATTACCTGAGGAAAAAACACATCAGCAGCTAACTAAAATGTGGAATATATCATATGATGAATGAAAGACTTAGACTTGCAGAAAGGCCACTTTAGTCTGGAAGATGCCCTCACAACACATGGAAGAATACCATTTAGCGATATTTGAGCTAATTCAAGCACCAGCACCAACATAGCCACCTTCATGTAGCCCACATCAGAGTTAGAGAGTCACGCAGAAGAATCAAGGTGGAATGCTTCACTAACGTGTTTATAATAATTCTGATACTCAGATTAGTTTGCTTAAAACCAATCCAATAGGCTATAAACCACATTCAAACGATTCAAGGTTGGTGCAAAAGTATTCTCCTATTCTTCTCCTATGTATTTTGTATCTGACTATTCTGAAGTATTAAAAAAACCACCATGTTTTATCATAGGAATGGAATTCTTTCAGTGACAGATGATATGTAGGTTTTACTTCCATACACACATATCTAAAATTCTACAAGGACCGAAAACTTCTATAACCCACTGAACATAATAGCATTTGCCATATCATTCTACCAGTATGCCTTAAAAACGTAACCCGAAAAGACTGTAGGAAGAACTAAGTGGGAGAATGTTGTTTCCATGCCTCTTTGATCAAGGAGCTCTAACACTGCAACCTATTTTCGGCCAAGTCTGAAGGGTTCTGATGAAACAGTTCAGATCTGCCTTTAAAACCACAATTTACTTTTACTGGAAATCAAAACATTGTGAATGAATTATTTTTATAATTTTGAACTCTCAGATTTAAACCAGCAACTTTTATTCTGGATTGAATTCCTTTTCTGCATATTTTCAGGCTTACGGAATGCATGACACATAACAGCTATCTGAATATGAACGTGAAACAAACAGCAACTTGTTTTTCTTTTGTGGCTACTACTTAACTTTTTCCATTGCTCTCTTTCCTCTTCCTGTGACTCCATACACTGCCTTGTCAATAGATGACAAAGCAACAAAGGAATTGAATTGTGTTTTCATGTTAAGCGATACAACTTCTGCTGGATTCAGTATCTCTTTGCTTGATTGCAGCTTAATCTGTAAATTGGAAACAAATATTGGTAATTTTAAAAGCACAGTGTTCCAAAATAAATGCAGACACTTTAATTAAAGTCAAGGAAATGTTAAAGAACTTGTGTAAGTCCAAGTTAAAATCTGACCGTAAAATGAATGCACACCCACAAATTTTACTGCCTATTTTGCTACTCACATCAAGTCTATTCTCACACTTCTGCTCCACGTTCAGCCAAACTGAATCAGCTACTAACTCAGCAGTTCCTTCTCCCGTGACTATGTAGTAAACAAGAAGACGTGCTGAAGGAACCATTTTTTGGGTTATCTCAAAAGTTAGATGCTCATATTCCACATCCTTGTTTCTCTCCTGAGTTCCAAAGCTTATTATCTTCCCTTTTGATGTGATCTATAATAGAAAAATCATGGAGAATTAAAAAGTCAAATTTTATATTTAATACGTTTCTTACATATAACAATTACTTGCATTTAGCTATAATCCAACACACACAAAAATGCATTTGGGACCAGTGGGTCTAGTTCAAGGGAAGGTAGCTCTCTCCCGCATCCCCTAAAAAGAAGTGCTGCCTCTGTGCATCCTTCTCTTCCTCTCTATGTCAAGTCCTGAAATAGCTCTTGAGACTCGTACTTGTTCTTAATCCCAGTCTATGACAGATGAGAATTCAAACCAGTGGAGACTTAAAATATAATTTAAACATGAGTCTGTTAACAATTCTTTGCTATAAGACTGACAGATTGTGCATGGAAGGAGCAGTTGTCTGAGCCGCGTGTATTCTATGCTGAGGATCGTTCTTGATTGTTGAGGTTTTTCATCTACGACCATATATTAAATCAGAATTCAATATTTCATGTGGAAACATCTGTTACTTACCAAATAGCTGTAGTGATGTATTTTATGAATATACGGACTATGTGGATATACACTAATACTTATGAAATCCCCTACTTCTAGTACTTTGTGGTTTGAAGCCCAGTCAATATATAGATAACTCTGACTTAATGATGAATAAGCTTTGGCTTCATAGGTTTTACTTGCTTGGTTTTCATCTGAAAGACGTGGATCTGCAGTTTTTACCTGAAAAGATAATAAAATGTCTGAAAATTTTTTTAGTAAAGAAGGAAACAAAAACTGTGAGTCCTGACTTCTGAATAGTTTAAGTACAGAATTATACTTAAGAAAGCAAATAATTACAATATTAAAAGCATTCTGCAACATATTTTTCAGTGGTATTAATAAAAGTCAACTCAAGACTTTCATGTTTTCTTTAATAAAAAGATTTATAAATATCAAGTCAAATATAAAATGGTAGTGTAGAAGCATATACATAAACAAATAGAGCAGAAAAGGTTAATGATATGCCTCCCTACATAGTGAGGGAAGCACTCTCAGAGATTTGTTTTCACACAATCAATTTAAAATTTTTGTTTAATAATTATTATGAAATAAATATGTGACAAATTAGGATATTTTGTTTCAGAACAATTTAATCAAGAATTTAACAGAGAAGTAGTGTTTCATTATAGCACTTGCATTTCATAATTGATTATTTGTAATAGTCTCTAAGTTTATAAACTTTTAACTTTTGAGTGTAAAATCTTCCCATTAGTGTTGCGCATTTGCAAAAGGACAGAATTAAACCCTTGAAGAAATAAATTAATGGAACAATTTAACTCACTTCAAACTCCAATGTTTTGCTGTCAGATGGGATATTAACAACAAACAAAGCAGTTCCATCATTTAGGCTTGTTGTTCTTCTCCCAGGTTCTGAACCCTCTGATATCAACACAGTCATATCCATTTGCTCACTAAATGATTTTGCGGTGACCGTTATAGGGATATTTCCAACAAAGTGATCTACTGTATCTTTCACCTGCACCTGTTCATCAGAATAAATAACACTTCTTATATGAATGGTGACATTTTTCAAGGAGAAAACTTTCAAACTGCTACGCTTCTTCTAGAATAGCAAGTTAAAAAAAAAAAGTTAAATGTCAATGGAAATTAAAAGCATGTTAAGACCTACAGTAATATATACAAAAAAGAGTAAGGCTTCTGCATTATGGGTTTTATGTTGTAACGTGCAACAATGCTGCTTATGTTAACTAACCTTAATGAAGAATGGAAGTCCAGGCTTCACAAAGAGAGGAGTAGCAACCAAACTCAATTTGTAAGGAGATACAGCAAATCTGACTCCAGCAAATTCTGCTTCACCACTGAGGCCACCTAACAAAATATTATTCCCCTTTTAATTATCACCTACAATCCTACAGCCTGTATTTTCTCTGCTTGCCTTCAAAGGGCAGCACAACCTGTCTGTTATAATGAAGCCCTCGCACCTAAATAATCAACTCCTAGCACTGTTGTGAAAACAAAGAGCCCCCCCAAAAAAGTTTAATCCCAAAACATTTTTACAGTGATGGATGGGCTGTTCTTCCTTGTAAGTTTTTGGACGGATTTCTGAATAATAAAGCAAGTCTGATACTAGGGAAGTTATCCATATAGTTTTGTTTTCTAGTTCTGTTTACATTTGCAGATATGTTAAAAAAAAAATCAATTAAAAAGCAACTTACCGTCAGACTCCAACACTGATGCCACAATATATAAATATGACCCATCCAATTCTTCTAGACTTTGAAACCCTATAAAACTCACTGCTTTCTTACAGTTAAAATTGATCTCAGCCACTCCATTTTCAATCTGTAAGTGAAATATAAATCTTTACTTTATAGTGAATAATTTAGAAATAATATATAGATATGCTATACACTAATTCTACCTTCAGCATGTTTCTGTTCATTGCCTATTTTCAGAGGAAATCAAAGGTGGAGATGTTTTAATGAAGAAGAATTCTTTATTCCATAAAATTATCGATAATCAACCAGTGGCACATATTGCAAAGTCTGCATGCAGGCCCAACAAGACGTAGAAATAACACAGACATATCTTCACTAAATGAGGGAAGATAACGCCTTTTATCATTCTTTAATGACTAAATCAAAAAGGCCAGACTAAATGAGGGAGGGATAACTGGTGGAGACCAGGCTCCCCATAATACCTCAATACAATTTTGATCTGTTTGTCTCATATCATGATTTGGCAATACTACATTGATCCTATATTTGATTTCTTTTTCTTCTGTAGTAGATAGCATTAAAAGTTATTTCATGGAAATTTCAACCACACAGTTTGCTCAAGTGAGTAACTGAACCAGATTGAAATTACATTCTGTCTCAGATGCTGCCTCCGAGTTTCACTTTAAAGTGCATTTCTATGACCCCAATGATCAGATTACAGAGGAAGTGTTCACACTGAATAGCTGTCGGTGCAAACTAGGAGTTGGAACCCATTCTCATCAAATTTAATGGGAAAACTTCAGTGGAACTGGATCAGTCCTGAACTAAGCATATGAAATCTACACAAACTAGGCTTGCTTCTTCTTACCCTAGTTACATGCATTGCACGAGGCATCATTCTTTTTCCATTTCCTTCGATTATTCCAAAACGAAGAAAAGCATCAGCACTTGCAAGCTTTTTATTATAAAAATAGCTGAGAACAAAACAACAATGTAAATGCTTTTAAGATTACTTTAATGGCTGCAACAAAGCATTTGTTTTTGAAGAAGAGTAATTTCCTAGGCAAGAGATAGAAAACAAATGTCTGTGTAGCTTTAAACACTTCTGTTGAAAAATAATCACTTTGTAACAATTTTAAAAAGGGTCACTTAGTTCTCTTACAGAGCAGAAAGGATTGTGATGATAGGGCTTCTTGAGGAAGTAAAAGAGGAAACTTCTGGACATGGGAGAATCATTCTTCAGGTAAAAGAAGAGATACACACATATTTAGAAATCAAAGCCAAATTTCCTTACCTAGCTTTCACAACAATCCTGAAGTTCTCAAATTTATCAGAACTAATAAAGTTACTTTCTGGCTCTATGATGATGGAAAAGCTTGGCATTGCTGAAAATTGAGTAGAAAAGAAAGCCACTTAGACACATTTTTATACAGTAAGCCACAGGTACTCTATATAGACATCAAAGAATCGTGCTGGTTTCAAGTGATTTGAATTACAATATTATAGCCCCAAAATACAGCTGTCAGCTTGTCCGCAATCAAGCACAAGTTATAAAGCCCTAAATTATCTGCAGTTGCCTTGGCTACACATTTTGCATCAGTGCAACTATGTCAAGATAACCCAGAATACTAAAGAATAACTCTATTTAAAGGCAAGCTGTATTAATACAGTCTTACACCGACGTTGACCGATTAGCTTGAACCGACATTGCCACTTGGCACTACACTGCATCCCGTTGCTGCGTATAAGCAGGCCAACGTTACCTCAGGCATCTCTGCATTTTCTTCTTCTGTGTTGTATAGCTGTCCTCTATAAATTTCAATGAAAAAACATATAAAAATGAAGGTTCACAGTATCGGCACACCTTACCGTATTCCTTAACTTCAAATGTGGCAGCACCTGAGGTTGCAAAATTCTTCTTATACTTGGCTTCAATCTTCCAAACTCCATACCTACGAAATGTCAACAATCAAACATTTTTTAAGATGAAAATAAATGTCGAAGACAAAAATTAGTATTACTACTTAGCAATATTTCATGTTAATAATTAGAGAGAAAAATTCTGCACCAAGTTTTTGCACATGTTCAATGCCTACTTTGAGAAGATTCTGCTTTGATATTTTAATAATGACTTTAACCTTATTTTAAAGCATTGAAATAAATGGGAAAATGGTATGCCATTATTTATATGATGACTATCATCAGAATTTTTTGTTTTATAGTTACAAGCAGAGACACATTTTGAAGACTGCAAATGTAACCAGGGTCATTAAGATGTAATTTGCTACCTTCTTTGACTTGCCAGTTATCACCCCTGAGGTTAGACAAATGCCCGTTTCTGGCTACAAGTCTGTTTCCATGCAGTCAGCAGGATTCGTATGTATCACCAACCTGATTTACCATAATTTGGATGATTTTTCTTTGCCACTAGACATGCTCAAAAGGCATTTGCTTCATTTCAAATTGCTTTACTTAAACCCACAAAACTTCTATGTGCAGAGCATATCTAAATGTATCTATCTTCCTATCTTACCATTCAAAGAAATTTGATCCAGATTGCTTTAATTTACATACAAAACTGGCAAAGATGAAATGGATGTAGTAACATAATTAAATTTGCTCAATGTAAGTGAAAAATGCTGTCTTTTTCCCTAATAATAGAAACATGGCTGGAGGGTATGACCAATTATCAATTCTTTCGTTAAATAGAGGCAAACTCAATACACTTAGCCCATTTATAAGGTTATAAAGCACAGTAATAAAGAATTCAGAAATTCTACAAAAAAGCAAATAAGTATATTATAAGGAAACATTTAAAGCTCAAGTTGGACCAGGGAATGAAAAATAATTTGACAGGTATGTACTACAAAAAAAGGATTAAGCATGTTAGTTAACTTCTTGCACAGACAATCTAAGTTGTAGTTCTAACATGATGCAGTATCTGGTACTTTTTTTTTTTTTTTTTTTAAAAAAAAGGGAGTCCTTCAGCACATCACCATCTTAAATGATGTCAAACAAACCAACAACGCTCTACTAACAAAACTTTGTCCTATGGCCAAAAGCAAGTGGTTCACAGTGATTGGATCTATCAGAAAGGTCATCCTGAATGAAGACCACGTTAATCTACAAGCAATCAGACCTTGACTGACAATGGGTACATGTATCTACACTGAAAAATGTATTTGTAAGATATATTAGCCAAGAAAGTGCTCCAAAGGACTCAGGCAGACTTCTGTTAGGGTCCTTCTCTCTCTGACTAGAGCACTGAGGCACAACTGCAATTTACATAATAATTTATAGAAAATCAGTTCCTACAATCTTTCGGCTGTAGAGCACCACAATGAAAATTATGCAAGTCTACTGTTAACAGATACTCAGTTTCAAGAAGGATACAAAATTAATTTTTTTTTAATTGTTAATTTCCTAATGAAAAGTAAAACAGGCAAAAATCAATCTTTCAAGCACCTGCTAGCACCCTTCTGCCAACTCAGTGAATCTTCAGCACCCTCTCCAGACTAAATGGAGAACTGAAGAAATATTTATTTTGAATGCTGGTGTTACTGGAAAAATGCTGTTGATTTGTATGAATATATGTATGAAACATGAATGTTTCCATTCTTTGAAATCAATACACCTTTGACACTGTTTCTATCTCTACAGTAGAAAGCTTTAGTTTTTATTAATCTTCCTTTTTAATTGAGCATGACAAACCTACCACTGTTCTTTAATTTCAGTTTTATCACCAGTATTTTCACTCACAACATCTCCTCACTTTCTCTCATTACAGTGAGCATATGCCATCTTTTTGAAAATGCAGAGTAAGCTTCCCGCTCAGCTTCAGGAGACAAATGTTAGTTTGGAAGTCAACTGAAAAGGAGAGTACTTGGTCATAAGTTCCTTACTTATGCCATGGTTACACACTATGTGAAATGTTAGACATCTCTAAGTTTCAAGTCACACACACTCTGCGTATCAAGCAAAAGACATTCTGACAGTCTTTAAGAAAAAGCAGTATTATGTTAACAATTCTCAAAAAGCATTAAATAAATCTACTTAGGATTAGGAGGAATCTTGAAGTCAGGAAAAGAAACTATTCCAGTAAAATCTTCTTCTTCTATAATATCCACTTTTACTCCTTCAGGATCCTTTAAATTGTAACAGGAAAGAATCAGCAGTTACAGATCATTCTTATCAAAAAGAAAATCTTAATTCAGTGATTTCAGTGGGAGCCTGGCCATAACATATTTTTCTAAGAGTTTTGCCCATTTCACAGCATGAAAATGCAAACATTTTTAGAAACAACTCAGACAGAAATTCTGATAAAACATTTTACTGTCATTCCAACAATTAAAAGCTGTTACTACACAATGCTTAAAATTGCTAAAAAGTTACTATAGTAACAACCCTATAACAACCCTTGTTAAAGGCTAAAAATATAGTATAGTAGATACCGATTATTTTTCTACCTTAAATGAAATAAACAACAGTATGAAAACTATATATTATTAAAATTCCCTCAAAATCCTTTCCCCTGATATTAAAGGTAATTATTTTTTTTTCTTTTTTTCCATTCTGTAACAACTTCAGATCTAGGACTTGAAAACCGCTATCCAACTGTGCAAAGTCATTTTTAGATCTTTTAAAAGACGGCTGGCTACCTGCAAGCACATCTAACAGTTTTATTAAATATTGATTGCGATACTGATTTACCATCTAACTACATTTATTGGTTTTGTGATCTACAGAATATTAATATTAAATTCAATTACAACTTACCACAAAAGTTAGGACAGTTTCTCGCCGAGCTGGCTGCAGTTCTTCATTCAAAGAGTAAACCCTGACTTTCACTGTAAGAGTTATTACAGTAAATCTCAGTCATACCATTATGGAGATTAAAAAAACCCAACCAAACAAAACCAAACAAAAAACCCCAACTTTTTATCCCTGCTAAGTTAAGTTTTTATTTTGTATAGAATGTTCTTGACCTTTTGTCAGTATGGTGTCCACACAGTATTTATTCATGCTAGCAACAGGAGACCCTGCACCACCACCCTTCCACATTGAATCATCACAGCGCAATATAATTTTTTACCACCACAGTTCTAGCATATCACTTTTGTAGGAAAAGAGCTCAATCTACATGAAACCAATGATTCAGTCATCATTTCTTCACAAATATTTTTAACACATTCCCAGGAAAATCTTTCACTCTGTGCTGCAGATTAGCCATTTAGGATATAGAGGGCAGGGACTGAGAGGATATTGAGAGAAGTGATTAATTTCTACAGTATGATCAAATAGGTGAAAAATATTATTCTGCTGATTAAAAAAATAAATAGCAGCTGACGGCAATACAACATAACCAAGAGCTTAAAGGACATTTAAATCCTAATTCCTTGGCAAAGTCAACAGTCTTTAAAAATTAAATAACAGCCAAGAGAAATAAGCATTATTTACCTGACTGATCAGGAGTATAAACTGGTTTGTCTGTATGAATAAAAAGAAACCCATTCTCATACAAAACAGGAATTTTTTTAGATCTTGTAAAATGTGGAGAAACAGCTTCCAAATACACATACTTGACTGAATTCTCTGTTCTTGATAAATCTGCTGGTTGAAGCTGGGGGAGATGAAATAAAGATCTTTAAAGAATATTAAAATATTTTTCAAGTCTTTTTTTTCTACAGTATTTTTTGCTGTGAAGAGTATCTGAATAGCAATTACTATCCTGTTGTTAATTATTATTAAATAAAAACATAAACACCTACAAGGGCTTATTCTTGCTTACATCAGAGATGACTGTCTGGAATATTAAGCTACAAACAGATATTTTGAAATTTTGCATTTTATTTATGTCCAGAACTAAAATAGCAAAGTGCAAAGCTCAATTATGACATTACGAGAGTACAAATTATCAGACTTCCATTTATACGCATGATGAATCTTGGCCACACCAAAGTTGCATTGTGGTTGGTAGTTTGGTGAAATAGCTATTTTGGCTAAAAAGGAAAACTGGGTGAGAAGCATCTCCTGGGAGGCATCACCCTAAATACAACCTTCTCGGTCATCAGCTTTCAGTAAAAATCTGTTTAGATTCCTGCACTCTTTGCTTCAACCAAATTAGTTAAATAAAGCTTTATGGTGAAATCTGGGCCCCTTTGGAGCTTGTCACTGACAAACAAGATCGAGTCTTGAACCTCAGTTTAGTCAACATTTTGGCTTACTCTGAACAGTCAGTTGACATATCTTGTCCGCATTCAACACTTCTCCATTCTCTCCCTTTTTGTTTTTTAAAGTTAGGCAACTATGATAATGTTTCTAAAATAGCTTGATTGTACGTTTAACTTTGGTGTCACTCCTTTACACTAATTTTATCAAATGTGATTTCAATTTCAGACAAACTAAAATGAAGTAAACTACATGTGGCAAACCGAGAAATTGGGGCGGTAGGCTTCCCTTCCCAGTTTAAACAACTGAAAACTTACCATAATCTTTTTTTTAACACTTATAACTAAATATGACAATAAAAACACTGCAAAAAAAGTCTCAATTCCTTACTGTGAAAACTACAGCATTTTGGAATGTGTTGGCTGGAGTTAAAGAAATATGACCAGAAGAATAAACAACATGCTTATCTGGAAAGCTTTTTATGGCAATATTGACTGGAAATTCCTCCTTATAACCAAAAGCTTGAACTATGACTTTCTCAGATGCCCCAGCTCGGAAGGCCTTTGGTGCTGTAAGGACATATCTGTATAGGGAATATAAAACAATAAAAGGCTAATGGAACTATATTTCTTTTGGATTTCTTACTTCTGTTTGTCATTCACTTACATGCACACCGTTAAAGCAAACAAGATAATCCTGCTAAGTTATTCTAAGACACTAGTTAAAAACAGTAGAGCCCCAGTCAGAATAGTTTTTATAAAAACTGTAATGTAACATTACCAAATAACAGCTTAGGTAATGTTTATGGATTTGATTTTGCAGACACATAAAAGCATGTCTACTGAAACATGCTATTTACATGGAAGTAATTATTCCTTTTGCCAGTTTAAACCCTGAAACTCTAATCTTCCAAATAGCACACTTGTATAGTTTTCCCACCAGTAAAGTTCTTACTGAAATAAATGGGACAACTTACAGTAAAGGCCAACGTGAATAAATTTTTGCAGGATTACTCTAATTTCTTCAGTGCTTTATAAACTGAAGTATGCATCATTCCACAAAAGCACAAGCCAGGCTTTAGTACCTGACCACGTCATATAGCTAAAATACATACGAAATGCCGTTGAACAAAACATTTGATATATGTGCATCTTCTTTTTCTGACGTGTCAAAAGCACTTAAGTTGGCTGCTTTTTATACACCATTGTTAACAGATAGAAGAATCAAAAAAGCACCACTAAGTACAATTGTAAAAGACACATTTAACTAAGATCTTTCATCAAACCTGTAGCAAAGTATCTGTCTCCATGCACTACAGAAATGCTAATGAGCACCAGCTTTATTTCTTAACGTTTTTGCATGTTTATCTTGTGGCACGTAAGGAGATGACTCTACCTCTTTCTCTGGCAGCAAATCCGGTAGTTCTAGAACCATCAGTCCTTTTTCTTGCATTAGAATTTCACAATTTTGCTTGTGAAAACACATCAGTTTGGATAGTGCCTTTTGTACGGGCTCTACTTAAATTCTGTGTCTATTTACCTAAAATAGCAGACAACAATCAAGTAACATTTCCAGTAAATTCTATATTTGCTTTACTTACGTTTTCTCTTGGCTAAAAGTTGTTCCAGAAAATAGCAAAACAAAAAAATATATTAAAATCGTCATAATGTCTACAACAGCAACCAGCAAACCATAGATGCTAACAATTCTGGGTTAAACTGAGTTTGGCTTCTGCTGTAGATAACCAGAAATACCACCAATGCATTTCACTCGCAGTTAATAATTAATTGTGGGTCATGATTTACTAAAACATTATTGCCCCCTCCCAAGGAAGCCAGGACAGCTAAACTTCAGATTTTTTTAAATTTAGGATTTCAATTTTTTAGTATGTCCAGAGCAATCGTACGTCAGTCCTAACTTTCTCTCTGATAGCTACATAAAAAAAAAAAAAAATTTCAGAGGTAGCAAAAAAAACCCCAACAAAAAATGTGATTGTTTGTCCTTCAGAAAATAATTTTTATTTAAATCGAAGTGATTTTAAATTTGTGTCTGAAGAAAAAAAAAGCATGAGTTATATCAAACATAACACGCTGATGTTTAGACCAGAAGTTTCCATTTTTTTTGTTCTGAAGTAACTCTTCACTTGCAAATTTCTTTCAGTCATTTGTATTTGTGGTTATGCCAGCTTTCTGAGTACTTCCATTACAAATAAAACTGCAATATGAAAATATCAGGGCACAATACATTTACAACACATACTATTTTAAACAGCATTTGCAAAAAAAATGTTGGCGACAAAACCTTTGCATGCCTGCTACCTAAGTCCTCAACAAATAAGTTTACGAAAGGGTAAACTAAAGTTGTGTAAGACTTCTAAAGTTTAAACAAATACCGTAGTCAACCTTTACGGGAAAGCCATTTACAAAACTATTTCTGATCAATAGAAAATTAAATTACAAAAAGGCCAACGTGGGCTTCTCAGTAGATCTAATAAACTACAAGGGAAGCAACAACATATAGAATAAAATCTTAGAAAAAGTAAGGTGCTTAATATTATTGAAAATAATGGCCCAAATACCTATCACTAAATACTAAACAATGAGAATTTGTACAGTAGGTTTACATGGGTGGCATGTAAACAGTAAGGAGCAAACAGTAAAGAACATTGGAAAACACTTTTTGAAAGTCTAACAATATTCTGAAAGAATGTTTTTTAAATCTAATTATGTCCCTTCCCTACATTTTTTTTCAGATACGGCCCACTTATTTTTCAACCCTACGTTTCACACCTAGTTGCACAGATTCCAAACGAACACAGCCCAAAACCGTCACAAGGGATTTATTTAAACACCTCTGTGAAAACGGGGGCAATTTAGGCCTACTGCGTTGAGTTTATCGTCATCAAATGTCATATATACTTCCTGAGTAAAATCTACCTACGCACCACTGTACACTGATAGGCCAATATGTGATACACACATACAGAGTATGGACCAAAAAAACCAAACTAAACCAAAAAAAACCCAAACTAAACCAAAAAAGACCCGATCACCAAGGCAGGCTTTGTTATTTAGTTTTAACTGGGCTTCAGTTAGAACGCCACCCCTCAGAATCCCCCCGTCCCGCGCTGAGGAG